CCCCAAAACCCCAAAACCCCAAAACCCCAAAACCCCAAGTGGTAAAATAAGACGTGATGAGATCAAGTAAAATAAATAATTAAATCTCAACAATCAAATAAATTAAAATAAATCAATGTCAAAGGTGAATTTACAGTCTGATTACGAAGATATCTAGAGCAAAATTTCAAGGCTGTATAGTGTAACTATTTCTCTCTAAGTTCATATTTAATAGAAAACGCCACTGAAGCCAAGTCAAACCAGCAAGGTCCAATCTTATTTCGAGTATCTACGAAAGAAAAGTACAGTCATCAATTTTTTAGATTAACAATAATTATATTTAGATGAAATGAAGATCAGCAAGTAGAGATTACTCTAAAATCTTAGGTAGAAGTTTGGAACTACTTATGTTTTTGGACTAAAAGATAAGCTCAACTAGTCTCAGAAGTCATTCAATGAATTATCTCCTTAGAAATCAGAGAGATTCGCAAGTCCTTTTAGAAGGCCACAGACATCAGTGAATCTGCACAGCTAGCATTATAATAACACTTTGGTAAATCGTAATGATTCTAGAAGTAATCCAAGGATTGATTAATCACTCTTGGCAAACGTAGATCGAAGAAATACTTCCTCAGTTAAATCTCTAGACAGATACTTTTCACATAAAAGGCAGCAAAGTGTCAAGAGTATAATATCAATCGATAGTGCTGCAATTGATAGAGTTATAAAATTATAGGATTAAAAGAAGTTAGAAAGCAATCAAAAAGACAATGGCAATAAAAGTAATAGAAGTATAAAGAGTAATTTCAAGGCGATTAAAGTCCCAGAATAAGATAATAGTAAAGAAAGACCATAATCTAGGCAGAGCAAATTTAGAGGAATAGATTTCTTAAGAAAAAGAAAGCAGAGCGCGGATATTGTTTCAAGATCTGATGCCTCTTAAAAACTTCGTAATTTTTTTACGCTTATGATTTATAGTTATAAGGTTGAGAAATAAGTATCAAAATGGAATGAAAAACAATAATCAAATGAATTAGAGCACTAATGATTTACATTTGATAAAGTAAAATGAAAATTCTATAGTCATACCTCAACAAGCTTAGAAAAAATTGAATATAAGTACAAGTTATATAAAGTTTAATAATGACAGAGTTGTGCCTTAAGTATATATTAAGCAAAAAGAGGAGAGAATGAATAGAACGATGGAAAATGTATAAAAATCACTTTAAGGCATGAGGCGAAATATACCCACACTTAACTTTAATAGACCTGAAGGTGCCTCTCCTCTTAGATCTTACTTTAATAGAAGCAGAGCGAATATTGAAAACCCGGAGGTTCAATAATAATCAGCACTGAACTCTATAAGGCAAAACTAAAATAGTTAGGGTAAAACTAGAAACGGTATTTCGAATAATAACAACAATAATAGAAACAGTATATTCAATAGGTCTAAGTTTATCATAAGAAATTAACCTAGTCCTATAATGAATAGATATCTGAGAAACAAAGATACATTTGTAGCCTTATTTCCTTAATATGGAGTGACTAAGGATTTGAATAAGACTGAATTTATGTAGTAAATGACATATGAGCCTTTTAATGTTATTGAGCAAAGAGATACCCCCAATGTAGATAGGTTAAATTTCATTAAGAGAGATGATGCAAAACGATATACAGAGGAATGGCTTAAAACATAGAACATGAGAGGGAAAAAATGAAATTGAATTGAAACATGCATTGATTTGTCTATTCCAATTTATGAATATATTTATTGATTTAATTATGCAAAATATAAGTTCTAAATTATATTTCTTGAGAAAATAGATCATTACTAAAATAAAATTAATTCCTCATCTGTAAACCTTCATTAAATCTTTCACTCTATCTCTGCACATTGGGCAAAACTTATCTCTGACTATTTTCATGAATTCTTTTCCGCATGTATTGCAAACACATTCATGTCCACATGGATAAAACACCGAGTCCTTTTTCTTATCCAAACATATAATACACTTGTTATCAAAATTATTCTCAGGAATTGCCAGGACATGCATTTCTTGTTGAGCCTCTCTCTCTCTGAATTGCTGGTAAATATCTCTCTGCTACATACCCCCATATGAAACACCTAGTACAGGATGATTAATATTCTAGATGTTCTGTTGATTTAAAGCCACTACTGAATTTAAGACAATGGGATTCATCTCCGAGAATTGAATTTGCTTTGGCTATTATTTTTGGTTATTCTTTTCCTAATCAGCTCTCAATTTAAGTTCATCGTAGATAAGATTCAGTAGGTACATTGAGTGACATCCAATTATGAATATGCCTAAGAATGGCAGAGAGGTAAGCAGTAGCACCCATGTGTCGTCTAGTCTTTCATCAGAATTATTTGAACTTTTTGAGCCAGAATTGAACAAAAACATTTCTAGAAGAAGATATAAGTAAAATGCTCCAAGAATAGAGCTCACAAAAAAGGCATGCAAAAAATGAAAATTCGTGTTGACTTTGACTATTCCATATAACCCAGCCAGTGAGAGTAAGAATGAAATCACTATTATTACTAGGATTGGTCTGCTCTAAGAATATTTAATATGATTAATCTATGAAACATACCTTTCTTCTCATGTAGAGGACCAAAGATATAACAGAGAGAATCATCTGCACGAACATCATAACAATCGCTCTGTTCCTGTTGGATCTGATGCTATTAGGCATAGGTCTAGATTTGAAGTCTCTGTCGATATATTAATTCAAGTATATTGTATCATTGACCTTTATAAAACTAAACCTGCCATCCTAGTAGGAAGTTTGCTAATCAAATAGAGGCTGATTCAGTTGCCCATCCTAGCTATCGTTCATCTTAATTATATTCAACTTTTCTTGAATTATTATTAATATATTATCATCTAACTTATATATAGAACTTTTATTAGACTGTATGGGGTTTTGGGGTTTTGGGGTTTTGGGGTTTTGGGG